ATTGAGACGTAATCTGTGAGAGTACGGTTGTAATCAGCGCGATATTCTCGTTCAACGAGTCGGAGAACCGAGAGAGAGAGAGAGAGAGAGAGAGAGAAGAGAGGAAGAGGGAGAGTGGACCGAGTAATCTGTGGAAGAGGACGCTCGCCTCGTAAATCACTGAACATCGATAAGAGTCGTTGCGGCGTCCGTGCGATGTCCCTGGTTAATAATTGATACAATTAACAGCCATTCATTAGAGCGCTGCTCGCGCTTCAGGCTTCAGGACGCGGCACTCTCGTATCCGTATGACGCAATTTACGTCTCGCCAATCTGTTTTCATTCGATAGTACGGCACGGACTTGGCGTGTGTCGTACTTCGACAATCATCGATCGGTCTACCTGTCACCTGAGAATTTATAACTTGTTTATATCGGACGCGGCACGTTACCTTGCTTATCCGTAATTTTATTTTATTCCACTCGTTTTTTCTGGGATCGTGTGCCTAGATTCGATTAAAATCGATTCGGACGATTATTTCAGCTGCGAATCGCGATCTCATGTCGTTTATGCACTCAACGTGAAACCTGGGCGGCATATTATCTCGGAACACGGCAATCTCGCGGGAATCGGGACGCGATTTTATTAACAGTTTTATACACCTTCGAGATTATTAGAGCTATTATTTGAGCTCGCTCGTTTTTATAAAGAATCGAACGAGTCGCAGCATGCATTTCGTTGGCGCTTTTACAAATTATTTTTATTCACGCGTAGAATTATTTCGAGATTTATCGCATCTTTCGATTTTCCATCTTCTCCCCGTTCGATCGCACTTCCTTTTTCCTCTGCGGAGAATGAGAGCGCACGCGACGTAAAACATCTTTCGTGCGAACTCATAGGTGGTGTGCGTTTGTTAATTAATTAGATTTTCCGAATATCGATAACGATGATGTCTCTCGTCAAAGTGACTGCAATACCGTCTTTATACATACGCATTGCGAATTTATGAATTTTTTTCGAGCGAGGAAATGTCTGTTTCTCACGCACACAGTCAACCATTCACTCTCGCTTGTCTTCTTTCTCTCTTTCTCTCTCTCTCTCTCTCTCTCTCTCTCTCTCTCTATCGAGTAATCTCTTCACCTCTTTGGTAGTCTCACTTTCGCTCGTCGGCCACCATCTCGTTCCTTTTTCATTCGCCGCGCGCGTATGCGGACTAATTAATATGAGCTGTATACGAGCCCATCTGTCCGGCACAAGGTCCACCTATGCGGGTACCGACCTGACTGTGCGATATAACAATCTCATCAAGGCCGAATCACGACTTCACCGTGACTACTTCGCTGGAAGTGTTGAAAACGACCGGTATATTACGCACAAAGATTTATGCCAGGCGACCGAGATCGAATTTAATTTCCTCAAAAATCGTTTGCAATCAATTATAAGATGCTAATCATGGCGCTTTAACGAACCGCATCACGGAACGGATTGACCTGCCATGCGTAATTTTTTTTTTTTTTTATTTATTATTTTTATTTATTTCTTTAGCCTTGATACTCGCTTTAATCTCAAAATTTACATTTATATTGATAATGACAGTTATGTGCATACGTTCCAATTATAAAAGAAAGCAACGCGGCAACGCGTTGTTTAATATATGGATGCGTGTATAATGGAATCGATTGACGTAAAAGTGGGGCAGTGGTGCGTGCCTGCATTTACGTCACACTGACAGCATCCAGTTGATTTTGTCAATTTGAAGAATGTCATATATTAATTGGGAACAAGTACAAGTTGTACAAGTACTCTGGCACGTACATTCTTCATTATGTACGCGAGAACTAAGCCAAGATACATATTATTTGATAATTCCATTATTGATATTCTATCGTCCTCCTCTTGCAATAATGAATATTGATAATTCTTGTTTTTAATTCAATGTTTTTAATAACGGTTCTTCTTTTAAGTAAAATCAATATTTTTTTTTGATTGCATCGATCCGTAACGCGATATGAAATATGATTTTGAAATTAAATTTATTATTCAATTCTCGATTCTTCTAGTTTTGAGTGAACTATTCAGATGTTCACTCAGACATCCGTGAAGCTCTTACCAAATGCTCTGGACCGCAGCATCCGCGGGGCGCGACCGCCCGACGTAGTGCTCTCATTTACACACGTCTTTCTCGTACGTGCACATCGCGTATTTATCACGCGTTCGTCGGTGCAGCGTGCATCTCGCGTCACGCAGTGCAGTGACGCGAGATGCACGCTCCAGTGGAAACGACCGGGGAAAAGGAAGCGGCATGTACGATGGATGACGAAGGAACGAAGGAAAGAGAGAGCGCAAGGGGAGACTCAAAGTGGGGGGCACCCTTCGTTGTCGGGCGTTGCTTCCGACTGCGTCGTCCCTGTCGGCTTATAAATAACACCATCTCCCTGTTTCTTCGTGCGTTTCTCAGTTTTTCTTCTGCCTCCGCTTCTTCCTCCTTCGACTCGGCTCCTCCTGCTTCCCCTGTTCGGGAGATACTCGGCCGCTCGCAAGTCTAATTAATAACACGTGATGAGCGATCGTGGCAAAACCTTCCGAGCCGAAAGATCGCGAGCCGAGCGAGAGAGTCGGCGAGGAGAATATAAAAGAGAGAGAGAGAGAGAGAGTGAGTGACGGGAATGACGTGGCCTGGAGTAGACATCACGAAGAGCTTCATTTGCGATAATTAGAGATACAGACAAACGTACTATTGTAGAAGATCTATATAGGAACAGCGAATACGTTATTTATGTCTTGAGAAAATATTACAATTTTCTTGCGTAACTATTACGAGGAACTTGAGAACGTAGAATCATAACTGAAACGACTCGTCATAATCAACTGTTTGATGTGCTCATAATTTTATGTTCAGCTTGCACTTTAAACGCACACATTATCTAGCTTTAAAAAAAAAAAAAAGATGAATTATTTTCCATAAATCCTATAAATTCACGTGTCGAAATGAAGGATATTTCTGATGTTATTTTTGCCAGATCGGTTAACGACGAGTATGCACGAGAGTTTCGCGTTGCGTCGTGGTAACTACGTCGTTATTGGTCGGGGAAGCAACAAAACCGTCGGGATATAGAGAACACATTGTGTGCAACGTCGGAGGCAGGGAGGAGAGATGAGAAACACATCGTAGCGAATCGTTTCCTCGCACCATCTCGCGAAGCAGCACCCGGGTGTTCTGTGTTGTGTGTTCGTTACTGGACCGATACCATCTTCGCTTTTTCTCTCCCGTTCTGTCTCTCCCGCGATATCTGTCTTTCTCTCTTTCTGTCTCGTCGCGCGTTTCTTGTTTCTCTTCTTATTTATTCGCCCTTTCCCTCTTCTTTCCTCTTCCGTCCGTTCGTCGACGGAGGAGGAGGAGGAGGAGGGGCCCTGAAGTGTCGAAGACCTGATACATATTCCTTCGATGCTGATGGTCCGACGTCCGATGTACAACGCGAACGATTGTTCCTTGAACTACTACTGACGATTTCGATTCTTTGCTGTCATTGGTAATCTTGATACCGAATCGATAGCTTCTAAATAGGATTACTCGCGATACTTTGGCAAGTGGCATGGATTGCACAGTAACATTCATAATTTGTTTCGATATACAGAATTTTTTTCCTTTATCGTCGTTTTCTCTTCGATACCTAAGCTAAATATTGATAAGACAACAAAAATCAATGTTTCAGTAAATACATGGTAAATACATCCCATAATCTTCGGTTTTATTACGGTTTGAAACATGAATGCCATTTTTTATCCCATACGAGTGCTGAAATGCACTCTAGCAAGGTGATCGGTGTCTCGTCAGCTTGTCCTCCGTGGTGGTTGCAGACCCGGCGTTACCTGCCTCGCTTAGAGTGTATCCTTCCATGGCGAAAGGACGTGTGAGGAAGTGGTAGGAGGTGGTGGTAGGCTTCGGATGAGTGCACTATCTCAGGGAGCACTCATCGCGACCGCTTCGTTATCGGCCGCGCAGAATCATAATGGACCATAATTGCATAAATATAATGTTAATTAACAATTAAGATTGCCGCTTTGCCTAATTGAATCGCCGCTTCTGCTGTCCCCGAGGGGGGAACGACGTCGCCACAACGCACCTCCTCTTCGCGGAGAGATTGCGTCGGGGGATCTCGGGTGGCCTTAAACGTTAATGGCGTATCGGAAAATTATACCGATGGTTCTTCTGTGAGTACGCGTCTTCGATATCGCAAACGCATTTCAAAAATGAAGAAAGAAAAAAAAAAGGAGGAAAGAAAACAATTACTACCTCTCAAACGTTGTACCGTCGGCAGAGGCACATTTGCTTTATCGAATTTACGTTCTTTTACTAAGGTATTTTTCTAAGCGTTGCGACAGAGACGCGCATTGGACGTATGAGCGTATGATTGGAAACGTCACAGTTCATCATCATTTTTCTTTCTCTTTTGAAAACTCGTGGAAATAGAAGAGGTCGTCGATCGAACGTCTAACGAACATTCCGTGCCTCTTGTATCCTCCTCCGTGGTCGTTCACCCGCGAGTATATCGAGTATACCGTCGTGCACACCGCGCGAATTCCGCACGACCGGATTCAGATATGCAATTAGCGAAACGTAGATGCAATAATAATGAATTCCCGTTAATAACCGTCGCGTCGTTAATAACCACCGCTGTCCCATCGCGATGGCGATATTTACCGGAAGAGATAAACGAACGAAAGCGCAGGCGCGCGACAAAAAAAAAAAGAAAAATAAAGGTTCGGATTCGCCCCGGAGAGTTGTGACCGTCGATCTGTTGCCGAGCTGCCGTTGACGATGCGGCAGCACGTGGTTAAATCATGTCTGCTTCATGTTCCTTCTACCCTATCCTCCTCTTCGATCCCTACAGCCATTCTTTCGCGTCATCTCTTCTCCCCTGGTCCCTTCGAACCAACCTCTTACTATCCAATGCCTTTTTTCTGCCTTTGCGTCCGTCGAATGTATTTTATTCAATTCTTCTTTTTTTTTCTCGTTTCAGATGGTTCAGGCGATTCAAGTCCTCCGGTTTCACCTCCTCGAGCTCGAAAAGGTGAGTATCCCTCGCGTCTGCATTATGAGGCTCATAACGTTATTACCGTTCAACTGGTGCAATATGCGCGTTACTGCCATCTATCTCTTATTATTATCTTCTTATCTATTTTTTTCATATTAATTAACGAATAAGATTTCCTAAATTATGTCTCATGATTAATATATATTTCTTAGCAAGTATTTAATATTTTTGTTTATATGGCATGAATTTCTGGAAATACTATCGTTTTATGTATACCTCTGTTATACTTTCTTCGCGTTAAGACTTGGCGTGAAAATCACGTGTTTGTTAGCGCAAAAAGCGGTTTTCTATTTAAGATTATAGTGCACGCGGCCGACTAGAAATTCTCGTGATCGGTCTTATTGTGAGAGATTACCGCGCCCCGCTCGCCGATAAGTTGTCTTTAACACCTGAAAAACAACTGTTATGACTGCGGGGGCAATTTTCCGTAATTGCGGTGAAAGCTCGACATCTACGGCGTTATTCGTTGAGACTACGACGCGAACACCGACTCTACACATAAGTGGAGTCATTTTGCTGTCCAACGACTGGACGGGGCGACGGACGCGTTACCTCGTTCGCGCAGTTGTTTGCTTTGGAACCGTAGTTTTATTTCTTGTTTTCTTTTTCCTTTTTTTCTTGTCTTTTTTTCATTTGTCGTTGCACCTCCCCTTTCCGATCGGCGACGCGAAATGACAATGCGCGCCGATGCTTTACCAGCCAGCCAGCGTGGTGTGGAATTATGGCCGTGCAAGCGGTGAAAGTGAGACATCTGTTGAGGGAAATTCAGAGACTGCGGGCTTTTCATCGGCGACGCGGAACGAAGGAAAGAAGAGCTTGAGTTGTTCGTTTTGTCTTTTGTAATTTTTCGCTCTTGACTCGCGTTGCCGCTGTGTGTTTTATGAGATTCTCGGAAACGCGCGCCATTTCCTTTTTCCTCGTATCGCAACGTTGACGGGATAGGAAGGATAATAGAGCTCCCTCTCTCTCTCTC